TAATATAATTTTCTGATATTCTATTTATTAATTTTTTTGGCAACACACAGCATGGATCACACAATCCATATGCTCATTTTATGCATTTAGTTCAATCATATGTTCTAGGTTTTCCTCAGAAACTAGACATCAGATTTCCTTTAGTGGTGGTTTTTAGGCCTTGACTGAGGGGTTGGCATGAATAGAGATAATGTGGGCAAAAAAGGGAAAAACTAGATCAGGGGTAGGCAACCTAAGGCCCGGGGGCCGGATGCAGCCCAATCGCCTTCTAAATCTGGCCTGCGGACAGTCCGGGAATCAGCATGTTTTTACATGAGTAGAATGTGCCCCTTTAATTTAAAATGCGTCTCTGGGTTATTTGTGGGGCCTGCCTGGTGTTTTGACATGAGTAGAATGTGCCCTTTTATTTAAAATGCATCTCTGGGTTATTTGTGGGGCATAGGAATTTGTTCATTTTTTTCTTCAAAATAGTCCGGCCCCCAACGAGGTCTGAGGGACGGTGGACCAGCCCACGGCTGAAAAAGGTTGCTGACCCCTGAATTAGATAAATGTTTTCTTTTTTATTTAAGGAGCTGTGAATTAATGAACCATTTCTCTCAAATTCCCTTTGACACAAGTCATGATTTGTTCCAATTTTGTACATCGGACTTTGTACTGAATTTGTATGGTTGAATGACAGACTAGCGACCTTAATGCTAGAGTAATTTGAGGATGGACGGAAGGGATCGCGCAATCCAACATTCAGAGAAAGTGAGTCATCCAGGGATCGGCATGATCAAAGCCTTTTGTTGCAATCCTGTAGGATTTACATAGGAAGGAAGGATCAATGCAGCCACTTGCTCCGACAGCTCTAGGTTGAGAGACTGAAATATACAAAATCAAACACAAAATCAATCAACGGCTGATATTGATTGAAGGCCCAGAGGTAGATAGTTCACAGAACCAGCTGCCAATTTAGCACAATGTGCTGGTAACCCCTTAATGAGCTTAGTGAATTGATATAGATGAACAAACTAGGGTGAGGAAATTGTTACCCTCAAGGACAGACATTTGTGGTTTTCTGCTTTGGATGCCAAAGCAACCTGACCAACAAGGGGTACTATGAACTTGCGTTTTTAGGGGCAGATGTGGGTACAATATTTTCAGATTGCAAATATCAGGCAAGAAAAAGTCCTGGGCCAGCTTTGTGGGTCTATATTTCACAAAATTCGTATAAGGCTTGATTGCAATAAAACCTCAAGGCGGTTTACAAATGATGCACATTTTATAAATTTTTTTGTATACTGAATAGTGGTATTATAATAATGCAGGGATAGGGATGCAGGAGGCACTGTGGTCTAAACCACTGATCCTCTTGGGCTTGCCGATCAGAAGGTCGGCGGTTTGAATCCCCGTGACGGGGTGAGCTCCCGTTGCTTGGTCCCTGCTCCTGCCAACCTAGCAGTTCAAAAGCACGCCAAAAAGTGCAAGTAGATAAATAGGTGCCACTCCGGCGGGAAGGTAAATGGCGTTTCTGTGCGCTGCTCTGGTTTCACCAGAAGTGGCTTAGTCATGCTGGCCACATGACCTGGAAAAACTGTCTGTGGACAAATGCCGGCTCCCTCAGCCAGTAAAGCGAGATGAGCGCCGCAATCCCAGAGTCGTCTGTGACTGGATTTAACTGTCAGGGGTCCTTTACCTTTACCCTTTAAAAAAAAAAAAAACTAATGCAGGGAAGTGGCTGCTTGTGAAATCATTAAGTGCTCCTGATGATGATTATTGTTGTTCTTGTAGTTATTATTTTCATGCTAGCATAATACGTAATCCATTGATTTTTGTGAGAAAAGCTTTCTGCTGCTTCTTAGAACTTCTGAATGAAGCCAAAGCAATTCCTACCTTTTGGAAACAGCTAGTGCGCATACTGCTTTCAGAAGCATTATCTATCTATATCTATCTATCTATCTATCTATCTATCTATCTATCTATCTATCATCTATCATCTATCTATCTATCTATCTATCTATCTATCTATCTATCTATCATCTATCTATCATCTATCTCTATCTATCTATCTATCTATCTATCTATCTATCTATCTATCTATCTATCATCTATCATCTATCATCTATCATCTATCTATCTATCATCTATCTATCTATCTATCTATCTATCTATCTATCTATCTATATCTATCTATCTATCTATCATCTATCTATCTATCATCTATCTATCTATCTATCTATCTATCTATCTATCTATCATCTATCTATCTATCTATCTATCATCTATCTATCATCTATCTATCATCTATATCTATCTATCTATCTATCTATCATCTATCTATCTATCTATCTATCTATCTATCATCTATCTATCTATCTATCTATCTATCTATCTATCATCTATCTATCTATCTATCTATCTATCTATCTATCTATCTAATCTATCATTTTCTAATATAGATGGATTTAAGCAAGGTGAGCTCCAGGTTTAAGAGGGCCTTCAGAAAAGAGTCTTCTGGTGAATGTCTTCATCTTCTCAGTGGCTGCTGGTGGACTGAGCTTGCTGTTGTGGCTCTCCAAACACCACCTACACTTTAAATTTCCAACAATTCCTAGTAGTGATGGTAGGTGAGAGAAATTTTGGGAAGTTATGGGATGGCCAGATAGCACAGGCTGCTCAGTGTGCCAGGCGAGGGGTGCTGGGGTGCTAGTAACTGCCCAAGGTTGCTCAATGCCAACTCTGGGTTGGTAAACCTGAGGTTCCCAAACTTATTTGGCCTACCACATGCTTTTCAAGAAAAAAGAAATTACTCAGATCCCCCCTGGAAATCTACATTCTTAAGACCTGTCAGCGGACTTGACCACAGATTGGTTATAACTTACATTTTCTGTATTTATTTGGAAAATAACCACAACAACTTTAACTCTGTGTTACGTTGGAAAGCGTCATTGCACAATGTCTTTATCTTCTTTCTTTACGCTTCCACTGCCTCCTTATTTTTATTCAACACCTCCCAATTGCACCCAAGGCTACCACCGCCCCCCCCCATGATCATTCCAGTCCCGCCCCTGCCCCCTGATATTGCCTACTTTGGGGAAACACTGCTTTAAACAAACACAGTACTTCCTGGGTAGGCAACATGGAGCCCTCCAGATGCTGTCAGACTACAACTCTCATCAGCCCCAGCCAGGGGGATGGGAGTTGTATTCCAACAACATCTGGAGGACAACACTTTGGCTCCCCCTTCAGTCCCCCCCTTACTGCAAGATCTAAGCCGGGTCTCATCTGATCTGCATGGTAATTAATTTCATTCTATGAAACCTTGGGCAGAAGTTGACAGCTTCTGGCACAATGGTGCTACTGACAGCTCATTCCTTGGACCAGACTTTGCATGTTCCTAACATAGCCAGCCCCACCTGCCTTTCAAGCCCTGCTGGACTGATACCTGGCTCAATCGATGAGAGGCAAAACCACCCAAGGCGGGAGAGGGTGGATCTGCATATGAATGACACCACCTTATACGTCATTGATTCTCTTGGCAAAAGAAGCTGACCACCGCTCACCTAGTAAGCTCTGTAACGTGACCCTGGTTGAGATGGAAGAGGTTCCGTGCTTTCACAAGCTTCTTGCTGCAGGCCATGGATTCTGGAATAAAGGTTCTCAAAGTTGCTGTAAACCTCCCTAAGCCCAAACATAAATCTCCTGTGCCGCCTCTGTGGCAGTGATTTTTCAATGGAGCCAGTTCACATACCATCTATGAGTCACTGTGTGTTGAGTCATCAAGTGATGAGTCATTCAGTGACGTTTCAAGCATGTGAGAACTAGCCTCTGCAGTGTGCCTGCAGAGCAGATCTGCAGTTCAGCACACAGGTGCGCAAAAAACTTGGAAGTCACGTAAAGATGAAGTTACACTTCTTTCCAAGTCTCTAAGTGGGTTCCGGAGACTTCTGTGTTGTGGCTGATGTCTGGTGGATCAAGGGAGTGGGTTCCCCTAGACATGTGGCCCAGAAGTGCCTGGGGAGTGTTTCTGCCACAAACTCTGCCCATGGTCTCTTTGAAAGAACGGGGACAATATGTTTTTACCCATCTCTAGTGAACTTGTGAAAGGGATCAGCAGAGAATTCGGATCAGTTTAAGTTAGGAATGAAAACAGTAACTCCTGATAAATCCTAGGAAAATTCCTCTTAAATGAAAATCTCTTTTTACTATGTAGGCACAAAGGAAACAGAATGGGGTATTTTTGGTAGCATTAGCATGCTGGTTTGTAGCAGTATAAGAAATTTTTTTCTAATTGAAAAATTCATTCCATGCTCATAAAGATATATAAAATAAAATAAAAAGATAATCTTTTCCCCTCTTGCTACCTTCAGTTTCCATGTCAGTTATATCATCATCATCATTTAATTTTTACGTAGTCTAGGGTGACTTTAGATTATACAAATATTGAGGCATACAGCCTATGCTCTACAGCACAGCTTGACATGCATTAAGCACATATTTTAATTAGTATTTTTTCTTCTTTCCTCCTGCCTTTGTATCAACCCTGCAGACCAGGACTGGTGCAGATACAATACAGTGGTGCCCCGCAAGACGAACGCCTCGCAAGACGGAAAACCCGCTAGACGAAAGGGTTTTCCGTTTTGGAGGCGCTTCGCAAAACGAATTTCCCTATGGGCTTGCTTCGCAAGACGAAAGCCCATAGGGAAGTCTCCGAGGACCTCTTTTAAATGCTAGCGGTGGGGAGCAAAGCCTTCCCCACCGGCCTTCAGAAGAGGTCCAGGAAGGCTGGCGGGGGCCGAAAGGATTTGCTCCCCACCGCCAGCATTTTAAAAGCAGTCCGGGATAGCAGGGAAGCGCTCCCGCTATCCCGGACGGCTTTTGAAGGCAGGAGAGGTCCGCGAAGCCTGGGCGCGCTGATCTCAGCGCGCGCAGGCTCCGGCATGCCGGCAACTCTCCGCAAGCAGCGGCAGCGCTGCCGCTGCTCGCGGAGAGGTCCGCGAAGCCTGGGCGCGCTGATCTCAGCGCGCGCAGGCTTCGGCATGCCGGCAGCTCTCCGCAAGCAGCGGCAGCGCTGCCGCTGCTCGCGGAGAGGTCCGCGAGCCTGGGCGCGCTGATCTCAGCGCGCGCAGGCTTCGGCATGCCGGCAACTCTCCGCAAGCAGCGGCAGCGCTGCCGCTGCTCGCGGAGAGGTCCGCGAAGCCTGGGCGCGCTGATCTCAGCGCGCGCAGGCTCGGCATGCCGGCAACTCTCCGCAAGCAGCGGCAGCGCTGCCGCTGCTCGCGGAGAGGTCCGCGAGGCCTGGGCGCGCTGATCTCAGCGCGCGCAGGCTTCGGCATGCCGGCAACTCTCCGCAAGCAGCGGCAGTGCTGCCGCTGCTTGCGGAGAGGTCCGCGAAGCCTTGGCTGGACAGCTTTTGAAGGCAGGTGGGGGGACAAAGACTTTCGCCCCGCCAACCTTCAGAAGAGGTCCAGGACCTCTTCTGAAGGCTGGCGGGGGCAAAAGTCTTTGTCCCCCTGCCTGCCTTCCCAGGGGCTTTAAATTGCCCCGGACAGCGGAGAAGTCCTCCGCTGTCCCGGGGCAATTTTAAAATGCCGCCCGCCAGCATTTTAAGATCGCCCGGACAGCGGAGAAGCCCTCCGCTGTCCCGGGTTTTTAAAATGCTGGGGTGGGTGGGAAGAAAGCCCTTGTCCCCCCCAGCCTTCAGAAGAGGTCGGGGACAGACTGTCCCCGGACCTGGTCTGAAGTCGGCTTCCCTAGGAACGCATTAATTGATTTTCAATGCATTCCTATGGGAAACCGTGCATCGCAAGACGAAAAACTCGCAAGAAGAAAAAACTTGCGGAACGAATTAATTTCGTCTTGCGAGGCACCACTGTATATCTTTACATTTCATGTCCAAGCAAGGAAGGTTATTGTGTATCATTGTATGTTTGTTACGATTGTGATGATTTTAGCAGATACACTTTGACCAAGGGTCTGTGTTGTATTCAGAGGTGACTCTATGACAGTACGTAGTTGTTTAATCTTTGTTAAATAAATTTAAAAATTATACAAACAAATGAAAGGGAGGGATAGGGAGAAATTGGGAAAATTCTTTTCTACAATGCATTGTCGGGTAGCCAATGTCTGAACACATACACAAAAATAATTGTGTAATTAATTAATTGTGTAATTTGAGATTAAAATAATCTCAAAATTGTAGGAATGGCATCCTGATGGCTGCAATAAACACAGGTGATACAGTCTTCTTATAACTTAGTTTAATGGAGGTGCCGTAGAAGGAATCTGTTCTTTATTTTTTGGTTTCCTAGGAGAGGAGCATTTGAAGAGCTGATGGTTTGAACCGAAAGTTTTATTTGAGAGCTGGCTTCTTTTCTCTCTTAAAGTGCACGAGTGCTTTCCTTTCTTCTTCAATTCTAGACTACAAAGGGTTATCCCGTATAATTAAGAGGTTTGCTCATACGAATGTAATGTTTGCATTTTTATGGTTGTCAGAAAACAAAACAGAACAATTTTTTTTTTTTTTTTGCCTTCTGCATACAGGAATTTCCAGAGGTGAGCAAAATGATATGTCTTGAAAATAACTGGGGAAGGGAGTCCGTTTGAAGTTCAGATCAGCGTTAATAAAATCAGATGATATAAAAGTAAGGACAGCTTCAACTGAGCACTTTTTTAGCAGTACTAATTTCGATCAGATTTCCAGCAAGCGACATACTATATGTCCCCCCATTTTTTTTAAGTTTAAAATTGGGGGTTGTCTTATACATGGAATGTTGCAATTAATTATTTCTTAATTTTGGGCTCAAAAAAATAGGTGTCGTCTTATACATGGGGGCGTCTTATACACGGAAAAATATGGCAAATTGGATTAAAAATGTTTTATGGGCTTCTTGCCAAACATATAAACAGCCATTCCAATACCCACATAAAGATTTGACCTATTTAAGGCAAAACAACTTAAATAAAATGGTTATCTTAAATACATATTTAGGTTGTCTTAGGTTTATGATGCCCTAAGTGCAACTGGTCTGACTTTGGTTGCATTTTTAGGATTTAGGATGATGCTTACGTGGGAGTGAGGTCCACTGAACTCAATGGGATTTAGCTTGTGCATGCACAGCCATTAACTGCATCCAGTGTGCTCCCTCCACAGATTCAGGAAGCATACAAATATACCCTGCTGTTTCTTAGGAAATGCTGCAATTTGATGTGTTTCCCCCTAAACCGGCTTCAACTCAAACAGTGAAAAAGAATTAGCTGCATTTTAAGCTGGTAGTGTTAACACAGCTTTACTCTGACATGCACAGTTTATATATGACATGAACTTGTCGTATTTTCCGCTCTATAAGATGAAGCAGACCACAAGATGCACCTAGTTTTTGGAGGAGGAAAACAACAACAAAAATATATTCTGAATTTCAGAAGCCAGAACAACAAGAGGGATTGCTGCACAGTGAAAGCAGCAATCCCTCTTGCTATTCTGGCTTCTGGGATAGCTGCGCAGCCTCATTCGCTCCACAAGATGCACACACATTTCCCCTTACTTTTTAGGAGGGAAAAAGTGAGTCTTATAGAGCAAAAAATACAGTATTATATATAATAAGTTTTAAGGTGATTTGATAATGTTCATTGAGCTGCAAAGCCTTATGTAACTGCACAAAGTTTAGAACTTTAAAGAATACCACGCTTGCTTTTAAAAAATTACTTTTCGTCTACAGATTTTGTACTGATTACAGGGTTTTGGGTTTTTTTACAAACTGACTCAATATGAACAATCAAACAAGAATCTATTGCACCCACACTCACCCGTAACAAAAGGAAATAAAGAAAGTGCAAACTCCCAGGGTGTGAAAATAGAAAATGTTGGATGAGAATCTATTTTCTCTTTCTCCTTTTTATTTCTTTTTCTCCTTTCTTTTCCTCTTTTCGGTTTGTGTTTTTATTTCGATTAATTTCTTTTACTTTTGATATTCCAAAAAGATACTGGGTATTTGATATTAACTTTTGTATATCTTTTTTTTTAAATAAGATATTTATTAAGGTTTTTTGAAATATTACAGTGAAAATGAAAAAGAAAAATACAAAATAAAAACAGTTAAAAACACACATATTTTCTATTACTTATTTTCCTTTAGCTTGTTTCCCGGACCTCCTCGTACCTCCCTTTTTTGTATTCCACTTCAATTTATTGGTTCAGCAAATCCTTACCATTAGATTTTAACCCATTTATAACCCTTTTTTCTCTTAGAACATTACAGCTGGAAACCGCTCAATTACTATCCAACATCATTCTATCATTCATTAATTTTACAATATTTCTGTAAATAGTCTTTAAATTTCTTCCAATCTTCTTCCACCGACTCTTCTCCCTGGTCTCGGATTCTGCCAGTCATTTCTGCCAATTCCATATAGTCCATCACCTTCATCTGCCATTCTTCCAAAGTGGGTAGATCTTGTGTCTTCCAATACTTTGCGATGAGTATTCTTGCTGCTGTTGTGGCATACTAACTTTTGTATATCTTTTTAAAACTTTGATAAAATCTATGGTTTTTATCAAGTGAGAGGTGGCAGACACATCATCAAGCATTTAAAACACTCCCCAAAAAGAATCTTGAGAACTGTATTTTTTTTTTTGTAAAGGGTGTCTGGGAATTGTAGCTCTGTGAGAGGAAAGCGACAGTTCCTGGGATTAATTGGAGAATGTGTGTGTGCTTTAAACATAGCTGTCAACTGTTCCCTTTTCTTGTGAGGAATCCTATTCGGAATAAGGGAATTTCCCTTAAAAAAAGGGAAATGTTGACAGCTATGGCTTTCAATGTGTGGTGTGTATGCAGCCAGAAAAACCTCGTTCCAGAACAAATGGAAGAACAGCAGTTTCAGCAGAAACCTACAAATTTCTGCCAAAAGGACACTTCTTGGGAATTTGAAAGCCTGTTACATTTTGTGACAGTTTGGTTGGTTCTTACAATGGTACAGCTCCACCACTGCCCATCTATGCTGATTGAGGGCCAACTAAAAATGGAAGTCTCAGAAGTATTTCTTGTGTTTCAAGAAGGCAGACTGAGCTCCAGCACTCCCTGTGCCAACGGCTTGGCTGTGTGTTAATAATAATAATAAATTTTATTTATACCCCTCCCTCCCCAGCTAAGACCGGGCTCAGGGCGGCTAACACCAGGTATAAAAACAATGGATTAAAATACAAATAGAACTATCTTAGTAGCAAGAGAGTGGTTAACCTTCCAGTGGTGTACCATGAATTGCTTTTGCTGCCAGTGAAGTCCATTAAACCCATTGCATTTCGTATTTAGAATTTAACACAGTGCCAAATTATTAAACGGCGGTTATATTGATGAACACAAAATTAATACAGTGCTCCAGTTCGTGCCAAAACTCAGCAACCATTTATGGGATGCCACAACATTCACCCTCTGAATTAAGGTTGTGTTGGAGTTGTTGTTTTCCTTTGTCCTTGTTTTCTCCCCCCCCCCCCACCTTTTCACATTTTTTTTAACCCTGTGCACTTACAATTTTATATTACTTTTTATCTTTCAATGAAGAATATATATACATAAAATGAGAACGTGAATAGGAGGCAGAGCAAAATGTTTATGTTGAATCTGGCAAAGTCTGAGGTCCAGTGATGCCTCACTGAATTCACGGTCACCTTCCAGTGCCCATTTCAAAGTTGCTCAGCTTGCCAGTATTGTTGAATGAGAGCAGGCAGAGGGAACCTGTGGCTCTCCAGAGATGGTCAGACTCCACCTCCTCTCAGCTCCAGCCAGTGTGGTCAATAGGAAATGGAGAGCCAGAGGTTCTGTGACTATGAACTAGGCTCTTTGGAAAAGCAGAGCACCCTCAGCCCATAAGTAATTTAAGGGCCACATCTGTATTTTTGCCCACTTGGGTACAACAGTATCCACAAGCAGCAGCCAGTGCTGCTTTCCTGACAAAGGAAAAGCATTCTGAATTTAACGTCCTGCCAAACTGTGTATGTGGAATGTTGGGTTGTAATGGGCGATGCTTTTTTCTGGTGGTATGTGCAGTCCTGGCACGTTTTTCTCCCCAAATCAGAGCCTCTTACCTCCTTCCCAAAACCCAGGAAGTTTCTGCCCGACTTAAAGAGAGGGGAGTGATGTTCTGGCAGAGTGTCAGGACTCTCTCTTGCATGAGGAGTACCAACGGATTTAGGTTGGATGAGGACCAAAACTACCAAGGTAATGAATGGGGCCCTTTCTATGTCCAGCTGTCCTTTTTCAACAACCAAATGGTCACTGTTTTTTTGTGTTGAATATATGCTATATGGTAATTTATGGACCTAATAGGTATCTAAAGCCATTTGCACATAACAAAATACGTATTTTATCAAAGTACATCCAGGTTTTTTTCCTTTAATTTTTTTTTCAGGGGGGGGGGGACAAGAGAGTGGGGCCCTAAGCTATAGCTTGTTTGGTTTATACTTAAATCTGGCACTGCTTATGGGGGATCCAAAAGTGTGAACTTCAGTCCCACCAGTTGCAGTCAGCATGATGAATGGTCAAGGAAGATGGGAACCGTAGTCCAACATTAGCAATGCCTGGTCTACTTATTCGCATTTCGGACATAAATTTGTGAACTTACTAATCAAACAGCTTTCAGATCGGTTTGTAGTAAGAGCTCCAAACCAACCTTAATTGGCAAAGCTGAATTTGCCTGTGACTGAATCCCAACCAAAAATCTTGGCAACCTGGAATTATTGAGAACAATTTTGTTGTCAAAAACATCCACCCTGGAATGGAAATGAAGGCTTGGGCACATCTCACAAAACACCAGGATTCCAATCGGACCTTTTAAACCCCAAACAAATGATTTTGAAAGCCAGTATCAAATCACCATTTTTCGCTGTTAATTTAAACACACACATGGGGAGAGGGAGAACATTGAGGAAGACCTAAATCTTACCTCTTATAGATACATTTTTAAGATAGCAGAGATCAACCTGCCAAAAACCGAGGCTTCTACACTCCCTCTCTTCCATGCCAACAAACAAAACTGGAGAATTTGCCTTCTATATCTGTGGTGAGTTTTAGGTAAAGGTAAAGGGACCCCTGACCATTAGGTCCAGTCGTGACCGACTGTGGGGTTGCGGCGCTCATCTCGCTTTATTGGCCGAGGGAGCTGGCGTACAGCTTCTGGGTCATGTGGCCAGCATGACTAAGCCGCTTCTGGCGAACCAGAGCAGCGCACGGAAACGCCGTTTACCTTCCCGCTGGAGCGGTACCTATTTATCTACTTGCACTTTGACGTGCTTTCGAACTGCTAGGTTGGCAGAAGCAGGGACCGAGCAACGGGAGCTCACCCAGTCGCGGGGATTCGAACCGCCGACCTTCTGATCGGCAAGTCCTAGGCTCTGTGGTTTAAGCCACAGCGCCACCCGCGTCCCTTTTGTGGTGAGTTGTTTTTTTTATGATATTTATTAAAGTTTCAAAGAATACAAAAACAAAAAATAAAAATACAAGAAAATACAAAATACAGAAAAAAGAATAAAGTTTTTAAGATATAACAAAAAAAAAAAGAAAAACAAAGAAAAACATACAAGATAAAAACAGTTAAAAACACGTTAACTTTCCATAGCATATCTTCCTTACACTTATTTCCCCGGACCTCCTCATACCTCCCTTTTTTGTATTCCAGTTCAGTTTGTTAGTTCAGCAAATCCTTACCATTAAGCTTTTACCCATTTGTAAACCTTTTTTCGTATCTCTTAAAGCATTACAGCTGGAAACCACTTAGTTTCTATCCAACATCCTTCTAAGATTCCTTAATTTTACAATATTTCTGTAAATAATCTTTAAATTTCTTCCAGTCTTCTTTCACCGACTCTTCTCCCTGGTCTCGGATTCTGCCAGTCATTTCTGCCAATTCCATGTAGTCAATCATATTTTGTGGTGAGTTTTAGCCTGACACAAATAAAACCAGGTAAAAGGGAGTGACCGGTGGGTAAGGTTACGATGATCCACTTGCCTTCCTCAGCTGGGATCACCTACCAAAAATGCACACAAACCCAGCCCTGTTTACAGGACAGCCTGAAGTAAACAGAGCTCCTTGGGATTTCTGTCCAAGTTCAGGCTGTTTCCTTCAGATCAGGGGTGCCAACTTGAATAAAATATTTTTTGGGGGGTGAGTTAGGTAAGTCCTCCCTGCATCATTGATCACAAGACACAGTGCACACATACCATTTGAATGACAATGCTCATCACCTTTGGGAGGGAGGAGGCCCCCTCAAAACATTTTTTTGGGGGGGCAGCAAGAACTCCTTGGCTCCTCGGAGTTGGCTCCTGTGCTTCAGATCAAGCCTGCTGCTGTGGGGGCTGTGCAGACAGGGAGGCCTTGGGGGCAGAAGCCCAGGGCATCCTCCATGGGACTTTCTGTGCCAGGTGTGCCTGTGGAGAGTGGGCTGGCATAGTAGCCAACACCTGGGGGGTGAGGTCCCTTCGCCTCCCCCACTATAATACATGAGGAACTTAAGAAAATGCTTTAAAAAAAAAACTTGATAAAAAATCCCGAAGCTTATCTGTTAGGGTTGGTGAGCAAAGACATACCACATATGGGAAAAAAACCATCTTTTTATATGAAACAACAGCTGCCAGGGTAGTGATTGCCACAAAATGGAAATCTCAGGACATACCAACAAAGGAAGAGTGGATTTGCAAATTAAGTGAGTATATAGAATTGGCAAAATTAACTTCAATTATAAGATATCAATCAAATCAAAAGTTAAGAATGGAGTGGAAGTATTTCGAAGATTATATGTCAAAATATTGTTCTAAAAATGACGTGTTAATAGGCTTAGAATAAAAAAATGTAAGCAATAACAAAACAAAGAAGTAAAAATCAAAATTTAACAAAAATAATTTATTATAGAATGCAAGGGGGGAAAGGTAGAAAGAAATATAAAGAAGTCGAATTGCTGTGGAGGGAAGTAGAGGGTGGGTGGTGGGTTTTAGAATTAAGCAACTATTGTAATTTAGATATTATACTTTATGTGAGGGAATCATTGGGTATTTTGGTTATTATGTATATATGTTAAGTTTCAATACAGATCTTTGAAAATAAAAAAAATAAAAAATTTGAGGGGGTTGGCCATTGCCATTCAATTGTGTGCTGAAATGTGTGATCGATTCTGCGAGGTGGGATTCATGGGCGTAGCCAGGATTATTGTTGGGGCAGCAGGCTTTTGTTATGGGGGGGGGCAGAACCTCAGATCTGTATTGGTTTGTATTGATGGGGGAAGCTTTTTCCCCGCCCCCACCCCCCTTCGCTACGCCCATGGAAGGACTTACCTGGGCCCCCCAAAATTTGATGCACGTTGGCACCCCTTCGGGCTGGGCATTTGTTCTCCCCGTGAGGCGCTTGGCGGGGGCAGAGGCGAGCAGGAACGCGCTAGGCTCGGACCCATCCTGGGGCCCGAGGGGGCTTCCCTCTCCCCCCCCCCGCCAGTCTGCGCCAGAGCTTGCAAGCGGTGAGTGGCTCTCCCCGGAGAAGGAGGCGCAGATGCATCTGGCCCACCCCGAACCAGCCTCGCCTTCGCTGCTTCGCTGGGACAACGCGGAACCTCCGCTCCTCCTCCGGCCCCGCTTTGCGCAAGCAGGACGCAGCTTCTTCCTGCGCTCATCGCGCTCGCCTGCCTCTCTCGGGGCGGAGCCTCCGTGGGTGGGCGGGGCCACACCGGGATTGAGGCGCGGGGGGGGGGTCCAGTCCGGGCGCCTCTCCGCCGATTGGCCTCGGCGCGCTGAAGAGCCCTCCCCTTTGGCCGACCTGCTGCAGTAGAGCAGCAGGTGGCGAGGGAGCCAGAGCGCGGCTTCCCTGCGCGCCCGCTTCGCCTCGCTTCGCCCTCCCTGCGGAGCCCCGCGATGGGGACGGGGAAGGGGTCGCGCTCTCCGGCCCACCGGAAGCCTCCGGAGCCTCAGGTCCGCCTGGGACACTCCGATCGCCCGGCCGAAAGGAGAGGAGTCCCGGGGAGGCTACCGGAGCGCACGACCCCCCATTCCGCCTGGCTGCAAGGCGGAGAGGCACCGGAGGAGGGTGTCCTGCCTGGCGCAGTTTCTCGCTCTGCGCCAGGATGGAGGGGAGACAGGACAGGCAGTGGGGGGGGGGGCAGGGACTGGGGGGACCAGCTTCGTGCAGGTGAAAGGGGGTGGGGTGGAAGTAGCCCCCCAAGAAGGAGGACTTTTCGGCTGCAGCAGGGGGAAAGGGTGTCCTCCTTCGCCTCGCCGACCTGGTGGTTCCGCAAGAGCCGGTCGCCTTTCGGAGCGAGAGAAGTGTTGCAGCAGGTAAGGGAAACCGATCTCGCACCTGGAGGAGGAGGAGGAGGAGGGAGGGAGAAGTCCGGGCTCTTTCCACTCCCTCGTCTCCCCACCCCACGACTTCGGCGGAGCTCCAGCTCTTGCGCTCTCGTCGCTTATGTAAATCGCTGGGTGCGAAACGCGCGCGCGCGCGCACGCAGGCATCACCACCTGGCCGGGCGAGCGTCCTCGAATGGCCGCCTCTCACCCCCTCCCCCCCTCCTCTTCCAATGTTTCGGGATGGCAACTCGGCGCGCCCGATCCTTCGCCCGAGCTGCTCCGGCCCCTCGAGTGGAGCGGGGTCCGTGTCTCGCTGGAGCCGACGGAGCTTGTCAACCGCCTCGCGTGTCAGTGGTATGGGAAGGCGGTGTACAAATTGTCTAAAGTGCTTTTTGTTGGGCCGGAGGAGCTTCGCGAGTTTCCCTTCGTTTGCAGCGCCATTCCGACTTGCCCACAAGTTAAGTCCCGCCGAGCTGAAGGGGACCCGCTCTTCTTCGCTCCCGGCCCTAACTCTGCATATAGGATTGCAGCTGCGCTGCAGGATCTGGCTGTTAGGGCCCTTTGCGCGCCGGAATCGGCTGAGCGCGGGCTAGATAGATGACCAGGCTACCATGAGGCCGAGCCAATGTCCTGGTATGCCAGAAAACGCGAAGTTCGCGTCCTTCTCTCTGTGCCTAAATGCAAGTTTAATGATCTTCGCTCTTTTTAATATGGGGAAAGCGCGGGCGTGACTTTCATCTTCGGACATGCGGGTACAATGCCTTTCTCCTTAGGATTTGGAGACGCCATCTCCAAATTGTTCATATTGAAACCTTTCCTTTCAGGGCACAGCAACCTTACACCTTACATTTTAATCCTAATGCCAATCATGTCTTTTCTACTTCTTCCTCTTCTACTTCTTCTTCTTCCCCTTTCCTTCGTAATGTGGGATAATGGTCTCTGCTTTCCTTTTGCTTAACCTTACCAGCCCCTCTGTCCAAAAAGTGTTCTTTGGGACGTGGGTGTTAAGTTTTCCTATGGCTGGCAAACTTCTCTTCTTGAGGTGGGATTGAGCGTGGTATACATTCATGTAGCAAAAGTGCATTTTTAAGAGATGTATATCTCAGGAATATTCTTATAATAAAATAGAAGCTGGCAGTGATCTGGTCAGAACAAATGTAGCCAGATGAATTTGGTTCTAGGCCTGCAAGAGCTGTACAGACTTTGCTTCAGTTTTTTTTTGTTAACCTTTAATACTAAAGAATAAAGTTCTTCCTGCAAAGATGGATTTGAAGCCTGCATTTCTGTCTATCAGGCAGCTATGTCCGATTCTTTCTTCTACATTAAAATACTTAGCTAATGTATCTTTCTCAGTGTTGTAGTAGGACTTAATTCAGTTCAAAAGAAACCAGTTTTCATTCTTGAACAACTCAGTCACCAAGTTCTGATGAAAAATGGAAGCAAGAGCAATTGCAGAAATAAAATGCATTGCATAGTTAATTGATCCCGTACATATACAGATCTTTAACTCTCTCATTCAAAATTGGCCGTGAAAGTATCATCTCATTTTCCAAACTGACAACACTGCCAGGCAAGTGGACTCTTGTTGGCACAGTCCGATCCTGAGTGCATTTTTAAATGCAAACTTCAAATCCACTGTTGTTTCCAAATGAAAGATTGAGGTTATCACAGCTAACAAGAAAATTAAAGTTTTCATTTATTCCCCACCCCCTCGGGTTAAAGCTCAAAACTAATTTGATTTGGAAAATTATGCTGTCAAAACATGCAAGTTAAAAAGAAGAATGTTTGAGCTCCCCTAAAGGAGAGGTTTAAATTCAGAACTTCGGGCTTTGGGTTTAATCAAGTAATTTTAAAACTTAGTTGTTGTTGTTGTTATTGTTATCATTATTAATTGAATTTATATCTCAGTTTCACACCCTTTGTCAAAGAGGCATAGGTGAAAAAGTTAACTTGGGTGACTTACTGTAACTGAAACTATGAAACTAATTTCTAAAAGAGCAATTTTGCAGCTTGACACACGTGCCTAATTCTTCCATTGAATGCAATAGGACTTAGATGCCCATTAATTTCAAAAACATCATGTCTTCAGTGTTCAGGATTTAAAGTTTCAAGTTTGGGGTATTCGTTCGCTTTGTAGCTCAGGTGGAACAGTTACAATTCTAAAAATACAGTTTTTAGAATCAGTATGCCTGGGGAAAGAACCTTTGACCTTTTGTTTTCGTTAAAGCATGTCTGAACATTTCTTTTAAAGAGGGCAAGATTTGATTTTGATTTATTTTTGAAGGTGAAGGGCCTGATCAATTCTTATTTTAAAATAAGAACTTTTCCTGTGCAGGTTTATCCAGTGATGTATCAATAACCATGACTGTATTTAAAAGGAATTTTCATGTCCCATTTTGACAACTTCCATTTTCTCCGTATTTATTTATGTTTTAAATAAACACTTTCTGTTTCTTTCTCCTTCATATTCACATCACAACTGAAATGGCATTCTTGAGATACACAGGGAAATATTTATAAATATCTCTTTTTAAAATATTTCATTAAATTTTCAAAAAACAAAACAAAAAATCCCATATGTACTCCAATAGATAGTAAATTTTTATTTTGTTTTGTCGGCTTCCCACCTCATTTTCCATGGTGTTTCTATTCCTCCCCTTCTACTGCACCCTGCCTTCTATCTCTTATACCATAACAACAATACAATAATCTCCAATTCCTTCTGTTGCTCATAGTTCAAATCCTGATTGTGACTTCATCATTCTATAATATTTCTTTAAGTAACCTGAAAAAGGTTTCTATTCCTCCATAAAACAGTCATCATTAGGTTCTCTTATTTTGGCTCTTAAGCTTTGCCAATTCTGCAAAGTCCACCACCTTGCATATCCATTCTTCTGTGGTGAGAGCTTCTTCTTTCTTCCATTTTTGTGCATAAAGAATCCTAGATGCTGTCGTTACATACACAAACAGTTTAATTGTCTTTTTAAAAAATATCTTAATTCACTTGCAGTTCTAATGGAGTTTTCTGTTGGAAAATAAAAGTATTTTATACAAAGTAATTCTGTCTTTTGAGAAATATGTGTGGCCATGCTTGCTTGAGAAATGGGAGCCCTGTGAATCTTAAGGATTGCCACATTTTATTTTGGCATAACTTTTATCAGACCTTCTTGTGTAATAAATCTGTTAGTCTTTTTCAAAGAGCCACATCGTTCTCTGTTGTGTTTACTTTCAAGTGAAGGAGATCTGTCATTTGTGGAAACAGTTCTTTACGAGATTAGCAGCAATGCAACAGTAAAGGTTTTAACTTTTCCTTTGGTATATGAAGAATTAATTTTTAAAATGGTCATTTAGTTTACATGCAAAACCTTGCGATATTGCAATGCGAGTTGGCCGCTTTTCCTATTTTAAAAATGCCAGCTTTATGATATCTGATAATGCTAATAGGTATCATATAGGAAGAGTATTGGAATATTGAAACATAATCATCTGTTTGCATACAGGTGATGTCAGCCTATAAAATAGTTGTAAGTTTGAAAATCATGTGTGTTTGGAAAGATCTAGATTGAATTGGTTGGAAGTGCTTATTTGCTAAACAGTTACACAAAGTTGGAGGGAAGTTTGTTTTACAATCAAGGGTTGGAATCATTTGAACCAATACAGCAGTTTTTAAATGTGCATCATATATGGTTGTATTACACTTTGTTTCAAAGGCGTAAGATGGGCAACTTCTTTAAAACAGGAGCAGTTTTTAAAACAAAATTATCTTTCAGGGATTCGCTAAATCGTAGTTGTCTAAACTATGGAATTTTCCCATTGAAATCACTAATGATTGTATTTTGGGCAAACTGTGGTTAAATTTTCAAAGTTAGATATGTGATATCCTATTAAGAGGTCTCATTGTGTGGATGGGTTCGATTCAACCCTTCTTCTAAGGACTAAAGAGCGACGTTATGATCCGACAATAGCCCTGTGAGGTGGTTTAGATTCCAAGTGAGGGAACGACAAATAGAGAGATTGGAATCTGAATTCATGTTGGCAAACAATAATCTGTCCGCTTTGCCAGAACCTGGAAGGGTAATACCAGAATTTCATGCTATCAGTCACAAAGCAGTTGAAGAGAATCTGTAGCCACTGACCGTTGACAAAAAATGCAAAAGCTACAAGACTGATTTCTCCATGATTAGTGTATTCAAAGAAATGAACTTGTAAGCCAAATTATGCTCATGTTCCAAATCTTTGACTCTTGGGGTGTGTGTTAGTGTGATTGGTACATGTTTTGCTTTCTCGTGATGTTTGTCTGGACCACTGCTGGCTTTAGAAATTTTAACTATTAGCTTCAGGTGCAAGAAT